GACCCCCGCCCCAGACCCGCGCAGATGCTGTTGCGCCGCGCGAGGACGCGCCACGCTAAGGTTCCAGTGGGCGGGTCGGCGGCCCCGGGACGGGCGCGGGAAGGGCGGGGAGGCGGAGGCCAGGGAGAGACCGCCGAGCTGGCCGGAGCCCGGCGGCGGCAGACACACCTACCCTGGCCGGGCTGCGGGCCGAGGCGTCACTGGGGGGGCGGGGGCAGCGCGCTCCCGGCCGCCTTCCGCTCCTCCTCCTCCTCCCCCTGGGCCGAGGGCCTTCCGGGCGGGTGGGTGGCCGCCGCCTGGGTGGGCCCGCTGTGCTCCTCCTTGGCGGCGCGGTTGCCCCCCAAGGCCGCGGGCACCTCCGTGCCGTGCTTGCGGCTGATCGGGTAGGCCCCGATGGCCGCCAGGATGCTGCGGTGGCGCTCGGGGTCCATCTCGGTGTAGTACATCTCCAGGGTCAGCGGCGTGCATATCTTGTGCTGCGACATGGCCAGGTCCGGGCGCGGGGGCTGCGAAGGGAGTCAGGTTCTCCCGCATGAATACACGCGGCCGAGACGCGCGGCCGCACCACGTTCGTGCCGCGCTGTGTCCCGTCCCTCCTGCTTTGCCCAGTTGGGTGGCGCTGTGGACGGCCTGTCTAAAGGCATTTCTACCACCATTTCAAGCCACCAAAGGGTCTCGTGGAGCCACAGGAGGTGGTCACCGCCCGGTCACGAGCGAAGGGGACTGGGCTTCCCGCGAGGGAGGGCGCTGCGGCCTGCGCGCCTGGGTGGAGGGCTTCTGTCTCAGAAGCAATGGGGTCGACAGGAAAGGGTAGATTTTACCTCTGAAAAATGAAAGGCTTTAGGAAAATACACTAAAAATCATAGCCATCATTGGTACAGTTAAGAGATTTTAAAAAGAGGATGAAAGAAAATATTTGCCAAATATTCAGGAAATGTCAATATCCATATTATATTTTAAAAACCTTCTACAGTCTCTAAGGAAAAGAGGAATGACCCCCTGGGAAAGCTGGCAAGAATGACACTCTACGCCAGGTCACCGCAGGGAGATGCGGGCCACGGGCTCCGCCTCACCTCTGCACCATTTGCCTCTCCTTTGACTCATGTTTTAAATTACAAGAAGATAGAACCTGTCACTAAAAAGCCTTTTCAAAAGATTGGATCTTGGCTGGGCTGGCCAAGTGGCTCACACCTGTAATCCCCAGCACTCTGGGAGACCGAGATGGGAGGATTGCTCGAGGCCAGGAATTCAAGACCAGCCTGAGCAAGAACCAGACCATCTCTACAAAAAAACAGAAAAATTAGCCAGGCGTGGTGGCATGTGCCTTAGTCCCAGCTACTTGGGAGGCTGAGGCAGGAGGATCGCTTGAGCCCAGGAGTTTGAGGTTGCTGTGAGCTGTGATGATGCCATGGCAAAGGAGTGAGACCCCGTCACAGAAAAGAGATAACTGGATCTCAACATATTCTGGAGAAGTGACAGGACATGAGCAGCTTTGGGGGCCCAGAGGAGCAGGAAATGCCCTTGTCCCCCCAAGGTGGGCGTGGGGAGGTGCCCCTCCACAGAGCATCCAGGGAGAGACTCCTATAGGACCCCTCGTGGCCTGGCAAGGACGGGTGGTCTCTGCTGCCCCCCAGGGCCCAGCCCCCACGCCCCTGCTCACCCGAAGCAGGAAGCCGTCGGGGCAGGTGTACTGGTCGTACCAGATGGCCTTGTACATGATCAGGACACAGCCCAGGAGCGCCATGGCGAAGGCGATCATCCGCGCTGTGGGCAGCTGTCGCAGGGAAAGACACGAGCTCAGGTGTGAGAGACAGTGAGCCCGGGCTGGGGCCCGGCACAGGACCACCATCTCCCTAAGTCTCGGTACCCCACCCCCACCCCAGGCAGGCAAAGTCGCCTTTCGGGAAGGTCAACAACAGGGTGGAGTGTCCAGGCACCACCCCTTGGGGTCAGGCCTTATTGACAGCCCCTTCTCTGGGATTCTGGAAACTCTGCCACCTGGTGAAGTGCACATGGCCTTTGACCCAGCAGGTGCTTGGAGAACAGCACAACCTGTGGCTGCAACATCATTTGAGGTGTTGGGCGCTGGAAGCCATGTGGAGGGCTCACTGGGCCTCCAAAGGTACTGCAGGGAGGGAGGGCATGTTAAGGTCAGCTGAGGCTGTGCTCTGGAAAGCACGGCCAGACCTCGCCAGGCCTCTGGTGGGGGGTGGGGGGGGCTTCCATCACAGAAATGCTGCAGGGATGGGAACCTGTGGCCTTCCGGATCCTTGAGTGTGGCCTTTTGACTGAACACAGATTTGTTCTGTGAAGTTTGGATTTGGTTGGGGGCCCGCACTTGGGGGTCTGGAGGGCCACGTGTAGCCTTGAGGCTTCCCCACCCCAGGAAGGGCAGATCTTCCTGCTGCAAAGTGAAATAGTCCACTAAAAATGGTTACAGCCTTCATTAGTAAAGCTGAGAGATCAAAAAAGGTGAGGGAAGGTATTTGCCAGATGTGCTGCGGAAAGAGTTAATTTTTGCATCATGCAGAAAGCCTGTGAGTCACTAAGGAAAAGACAAGCAGCCCGGGGGAAACTGCGCAGGAGACACGCCCCAGAGGCTGGGGTGCAGGGCCCCCACAGCCAGCCCTGGGCACCCGCCTGGGGGCCCCCCACCTGCGAGCGGTGGCGTGGTTACCTTGCGCCCTTCCTCTGGGTGGCTGCCGTTCCCCTTCTGGCCCTCCAGGTCAGGGAACTTCTTCGGCTGGTCTGGGGAGGACAGCTGGTATTCCGTCTGCGTCTTGATGACCACCTGTGAGAAGACACGGCCATGGCCTCACCAGGCGGCTGGCAAGGCCCCAGGAGAGCCTTGGCTGAGAGGGTCGGCTGCATGGCAGTGGTGTGGACGCCGACCATGTGGCTGGCAGGGCCGCAGTAGCTACAAGGTGAGGCCAAAGGAAGGTGGCTGCTGCAGGTCTGCTGAGGGCCGGGGCAGCCCTGGGGCCTGGCGAGACCACTGACAGAGCCCCTGTCTCTGCCAGCTGCCGTCAGCTCTGAGGGCGCTGCTCTCCCTGCCGGGAACTCCCCCTTCAGTGGAGCCACAGCTTAGCCTCCTACTCTAGGAAGTCTATCCTGACTTCTCTTCTGGTTCCCAGGGTCTTGAGGCCCCTACCCTGTGGGGCACAGGCAGGTGCTCCAGAGGGGCAAAGCCTGAGCCTCCCACGGCCCACTCACACATGCTGCCCCACCCCTGCCTGGGACAACTTCTGGTTCCCTTCACGCGCCACAGCTCCCCCAGGGTCCGGCTGGGCTAGGCTTGAGTGAGCTCTTTGCTTCTCACCAATTTCGGTTGGAAGCTCCCCCTCCCTTGGTTACTTGCCCCGGGACCAGGAGCCCCGTCCCAGCAGGAGAAGGGTGGGGTTGTTGCTTGCTGGTCCCCACCGACAGACATGGGTGGGCAGTGACCCCATCTCTGACCCACCCCCAGTGGGACCAGGTAGGTGTGGTGCTGTCTGCGGGTGGGGAGAGGGGTTCTGGAGACCAGGGAGCTGACCAGAAGGTCACAGAGTACTGGTGGCCGACTGAGGTTCTGGCCCGCACGGCCTTCCTCCACTTGCTCTGTGGCACCTAGGAGGAGGCCACATCTAACAAACCTTACCCACACCCTTTGCTCCCAGGGGAGCCTGAGAAAGGCTCCCCCACGCCAATGCAGGCCCCTCACCTGGTCAGGGAATGGTGGCTGGAGCTGGCTGACGTCCAGGGGGCTGATCAGAGGCACACTGTCTGTGCCAGCCCCATCCTGGTCCCCGGGGTCTTTGCCTGGCTTCCCAGAGAAGCTGCAGCCCAGCTTCACCATGGTGGGTGGTGGTCCTCGACCTGCTCCAGAGACAGAGACAGGGTCACTGCCCACAGGCCACCCGTGGATGCCCATGCAGCTGGCTCTGGAGCAGAGCACCCCGGGCTGGTCCCAACACTCCTCACACTAGAGCCTGGGACAGGCCATGGGTGGTCAGGCCAAGCTCCCTGGGGCCAACTGGCAGGTGCACCCAAAGGCTTCTGATCCCTTCTTGACCCCCAAGTCCCTAGGGACCCCATAGCAGTGAAGGGGGTGGCACCCCCGACCACTGACTGCCCAGACACAAAAGCAGGGGAGTCTTCATTGGCCAGTGCTCTAGAGGAACTTCCAAGGGCAGCGGTTCCAAAGAAAACCCAGACAGCAGTCTGGAGGGTTAGGTTGCCAGATTTAGTAGATAAAAATACAGGAAACCCAGCTAAATTTGAATTTCTCATAAGCAGTGAATACTTTTTTTTTAGCATAAGTACATCCACGCAATATGTGATATGGGACATATTTATATTTAATACTAAAGAGTCATTCGTTGCCTAAGTGAAATTCAAATGTACCGGTGTCCGGTGTCCTATCCTGCAGCCCTTGCTGGCAGGCAGGAAGCGAGAAAGAGCCACGAGGAGGACGGGCTCAGGCAAGTCCCAGCACCGGGTGTGCGGGACAGTCTAACGGCTATGGAGGGCACAAGCCAAGTGGCCCGTGGGGAAGACAGCTGAGGCTCTCGTGGCTTGGAGCCCGTGTGGCCCCCACACCGGGCTGGGGTTAGGGTGCACGGCTCCACCTCTAGGCTGCCCTCTTAGAGGAAAGGAATGCAGCAAATGACCTCTACGTTGATCAATGGAAAAGCAGAAAAACAAAATATACTCAGTCAATCAAAAGAAGACGCAAAGGTCCTGTGTCCAGTAAGAAACTGAACCTGTCACTAAAAATTCTCACAAAGAACTCCAAGCCCAGACAGCATCACTGCTGAATTCTACCCATCATTTAAGGAGGAAATAATGCAAAAATCATACAAAACTCTTCCAGAGACAGGACACAGATGCACTCGCCAGCTCATCAGGCCAACATAGCCTCAGTTTCCCAACCTGGCAAGGACAACAGGAGAGGGGAAATCACAGGCCCCCTCACCCACAATCAGTGCAAAGACTCCAAGTGAAATTCGAGCAAACCAAATCCAGCAAGATAAAAAGATAACACATCCTGACAGGTTGGGTGTGTTCTGGGAATGAAATTTGATTCAGTATTTGAAAAGCAATGAGGAGGCCAGGCGCGGTGGTGCACACCTACGATCCCAGCTACTCGGGAGGCTGGGGCAGGAGGATCGCTTGAGCCCAGGAGTTCAAGGCTGCAGTGAGCTGTGATGGCACCACTGCACGCCAGCCTGGGTGACAGAGCAAGACCCTGTCTCTAAAAAAAAAAAAGCAATCGGTATTTTTTCACCATATTAACAAAATAATGAAAAATAATCTGATCAATTTCAATAGGGGCTAAAAAAGTATTTGATAAGATTCAATGTTCATTTATTATCTCAAATATCTGTTAGCATACTAAGGGCAGGAAGAAAATTTCTTAACTTAATAAAAGTTAACCACAAAAAAACCCTACAGCAGACCGTATTGAATGTGAATCTTGTAGCCTTTAAGGTTAGGAAGGAGACAAAATGCCCTTCGGTTCTATAAATCACGTGCTGGAGGTCTCGGCCAATGCCCCAGGGCAGGGAAAAGATGAAGTAAGACAGTCATTATTCACCCAGGAAAACCCAAATGAATCTGTAGATAAATTATAGGGATTGAAAAGTAATTCAGCAAGGTTGCAGGATTTACGGTATTCAGAAATCAATTCTATTTCAATATACCAGTGGCGAAAAAAATGAGAAACATTTTTGAAAGATTCATCTAAATAGTATAAAAGTATCAAATGCTCAGCAATAGGTGTAACAAGAGATGAGCAAGATCTCCAGCATGGAAAGCCATGAAGTATTATTGACGGAGACCCGGAGAAGCACTAAATCCCCTCAATCAACAGGACAGAGTGTGGCTATGGGTTTGGAAAATCTCCATGTTGAAACACGGCATCCTTCCCCCAAAATATATCTGTAGAATCAATAAATCTTAAAGTCCCGAGAGGATTTTTTTCCATGAACTTGATGAACACTGTCATTTTATATGGAAGGCAGAGGGATGAGAAAACACAAGATACCTTGGAGAAGAACCAGGAGTCTTGTCTGCCAGGTGCCTGGCTTGCTGCACAGCGGTGAGGTTCAGTGTTGGGTGTTGTGTGTGGTAGACAGAGTCCCAGCTGACACACCCACCCTAACCTACAACAGAGACGCCGCTACAAAGCCCGGGGAATGGCCGCCTCTCACCGAACCGCTGCGTTCACCAAAAACAATGAACTTCACGCCACACACAAATCTACTCCAGGTGGACAAACTTCCGTCGGAAAAGCAGAGTTAAGCACCTCACAGAGGACACAGAACAAGATTGTTCTGGGCTCAGGGAGGGAAAGATTTCTCCAGTAGGACAAAGAAGCACTAATCATAAGAGGAAATACTGGTAAAATGACTACATTAAAATTGCGAACTTATGTTTATCAAAACACAGCCCTCAACGAACAGAGATCAAGACTGGAAGAAGATATTTATAACCCACAAATGATGAAGGGCTTGTATAGGTTGAACGACATCCCCCCAAATATGTCCAAGTCCTAATCCCCGGTATCTATGAATGTGACCCTATTGGGAAATAGGGTCTTTGCAGATGCAATCGCGTTAAGATGAGTTAGGGTGGGCTCCCATCCCACGCCTGGGCTCCGGGAGAATGTCAGGTGCAGACGCCGGAGTGATGCAGATGCCATCAGCGAATGCCTGGGGACCCAGAAGCTAGGAAAAAGCAAGGAAGAATGTTCCTACAGGTTCTGGAAGGAGCGGCCCTGCTGACACCTTGCTTTTGGACTTCCCGCCTCCAGGACTAAGAATAAATTTCTGTTGTTTTAGGCCACCCATTGGCGACAGCGGCTCTAGGAAAGCCAGCAGACCACTTTCTCATCCTGCATCTCCAGGCCCTGCTGGGGGTCCCAGGTGTGGCTGCTCCCCACCCCCATGGAAGGAAACCCGCTGTCATGGTGCCTCAGCCAGCGACTGCCAAGCCTACAGACAAGGAGGATCTCTACGTGGAAGTGTGTGTGGAAGGGGGTGTGGGTGTGTGGACGGAGGGGGGGCGCTGGGCAGGGGTGCGGGGTGCCCCGCCGCCACTTTTGGGAGGGCGAGGCAGCGCGGGACAGAGGCCCCTCCGGGACTACCAGGCCCCCACCCTGCGCTCCCAGCAGGTGACCCTGCGCCCCAGGGCCCTCCCCGACTGTCGCAGGGTCCCCGCCCACGAGCCCCCAGGCCAGGAGGGTTCTCTTCAGAGGGGAAGGAAGAGGGGGGCGCAGGGTGACCTGACGGAGCAGACGCCCCCCCCCCGCGTGCAGACAGAGCTCTCTGAGGACAAACGGAAAAGTGCGCAAAGAGCAGGAGGGCCGCAGACCGGGAAACGGAGGGTCGTGGCGCATAGCCCGGGGTGGGGGACGAGGTGCCATCGGGAGGCGGGGTTGGGGGTCTCCATGGAACCGGAGGCACACTCAGCCTCCCCACCGACGGAGCGTGGAGGGGCGGGGGGCCAGTCCCTTCAGGAACACCCTCAGCCTCCCAGGCTGCGGCCAGCCCAGGAGCGACCCCTCCCTAGAAGGAGCTCCGCCCCCCGTCCCCTTGAGCCCAACAGGAATTCCGCCTCCTCTGCCAGCCTGAGGGCCATCTGACGTCATCGCGGGTTTCCATGGCAACGGAGACAGGACCCTGAAGACACGTCTCCATGAGGACAAGGAGCTCTTTGGGGCCCACCGGACCTTCGCGTCTGCATCCAGGCCCATGCCCCAGGCAGAAGGCGGGAGAGGGACTGGTTTGGGGTCCCCCCAACATTCCTTTCCTTCGGGGTGAGGCACACGACAGACTCAGAGCTCCGCAGAACTGGGGAGCCCCTACCGGGCCCCCCCGCCCTCCTCCCGCCCCCTGCGCTGTAATTGCATCTTCCTCTGCTCCCCACTCGCCGCGCGCTCCTGGCGGGGGAGCAGCGCGCGTTTTCTCTCTCCGAGGCTGGGGCGCGCAGGATGCTGACGGAGGGTGGGTGCTGAGGCCGCGGTTGAGAGTCCTCGGAAGCTCGGCTAGAGGTTTCGTCACAGGCTGGCTTCGACGCGCGCCCGCCACCCTGGGATGCTGCGTCACGCAGGGAGGCGCGCGCTGCTGCGCGCGGGCGTGCGCTCGTGCGGGCCGGGCACGGGCGCCGTGCGCGTCGGGTGCGCGCGGGACTGCGGACCGCTGGGGCTCGCCCCCGTCCCGCCCGGTGCCGCCCACCCCTCGCCCTGCAGGCGGTCGTGGCCCGACTCCTGGTTTCAGGGCCCTGATCTGCGGGTGTCAGCCCAGCCCTGCGGCGCCAAGACGGGGCCAGGACGGAGCTGCTCCCAGCTTCCCGCGTCCCAGCCACCTGTGGCCCCATATCCAGCCTGCGGCAGGTGGTTCCGCAGACGTGCCCCCTCCCTGCCTCCTGGCCGCCTCCTGCCTGTTACGCAGCCGCCCTCTCACGACCACCTGCAACTCCCGTGCGGGCAGCGGCTTTTCGGTGCTCCGGTCCAGCGCCCCTTCGGCGCCCCCTTCTCAACCCCGCCCCGCCCCCCGCTGCCGACAGCTGAACAGGGGCTGGGACCCGCACCCCCACCCACCCCGGGGCGCCCAGCTCCCGCTCGCGCTCTCAGACCCGCAGGGCTGGAGCCAGCTCCTGGGGAAGGGGCTGCATTCACCACGGTGGGGGGCGGCTGATGTCCCGCCCCGCCCCCACAGCTCCACTCTGCCCGGGACCGGGAATCCGGGCAGCACGTCGGGTCTGCGCAACGCCGGACACCCATGGCCCTTCCTGAACGTCCAGGCTGCGACTCGTCCACCGGCCCCTGACGTCCTGGGAAACCTGGGGACCGCC